CTTAAATTCTACATTACCATATTGTTTTATTATTACTCAAGCCTTGGAGCCTTTAATGCTGCAACTTGGGAAATCTATTCAGTATCAGCAACTGGATTTTTCACCCTGACACAAATTCTTTAGACTGCAGACATTCAGGTGGATTAACTTCAAAATAAAACATCTTGGTGCAATAAAATGTGTGGTATTCAAGTTAAAGATTTTAGCAAGGATCACATTTCACAAATGTAGCTGCTTGTGAGAGTCCGATCTTGTTCGCTTTCACAGAGATGGAGATAAGTAACTGCACCTGTAAGACAAATGTGATTAAAACTAGAATTATTTCCCTCTGAAATACACTAAAGTAGAATTATATAACAAAATTATGATACTTAGTCTAAGTAACTCAAAGCTGTGGCTGCACACAGCAGGTGACTGGTGTTATTGTTTCTTACTGTCGTCCAAACAGACATAAACTACACAGACACCAGCGGATGAGAGGTCACTACAGGCTGACTGGAGCAGACTGTAGGTCAACCACCTCCATGATCAAGGCTACAGACCTGTGGAGCAACCAGCGCCTTCTTCACAGCGGCACAAACGGGGAACCTGAAAGCCTGAAACAAAGTAGCGGACCGATAAAACACACTTACTGTAGCATCCAGAGAGCAAAAACACGACCAAGTCCCACAGGAGCATGTGGCTGCATAAGCCCGGTGATTACCTAAATGGGTCAGGCTCAGCATGTGGGATTTGTAGTTCTTTAAATGAGACGCGTACCATTATTCAGATTTGTTGTTGTTGATGCTGCTGCTGCCGAAATACGCAAATACGTTGTAATCTATTTGAAATTAAACATGTAGTAATATAACATTTAAATTAAATAAAAAGTAGACTTTTTTTTTAAAGAAGAAAAAAAACTCCTGCACAGATATATTTGAGATAAAAATGTATTTGTCTGATGGGAAAAAAAAGCTATATGCATAGAGACTCCTAAAATGAGATCCTTGGAAAATAAATACAGATATGACAGCAAATTTAAAGCAGCGTTGCAGTTCCCAGATGTCACCACAGGAGGGCGCAGCCACGATTTGTGCACTGAAATCATTACAGCATTCTGAGCTAAACTTGTGTGCATTAAACTTTGCATCATGAATTAAAAGTGGCTGCATGTGCACACACAAAAGCAAAGCTCGAACACGCTTTAACCACTGATGGACCCAGATGTGTTTGTTCAGACTGATTGTGACAGAAAGGAATTGAAGGTTAATGACATTTTTCAGATGAAAATATGTTCACTTTCATGTTTTGCTTTTTTAAAAACCTTTTCACAGTTGGAAAATCACATGGCATTAGAAGAACATTAATGATGGCTCAGTTCCGTTAAGTTTCCAAATAAGCCATGACAGTTGTTAGGATCCAGCCTCTGGGGTCAGCTGGATGTAAAAAACAGTTGTTGTTGGTGGAGATAAAGCAATTTATCGCTCAGCAACGTAAATAAACATAAACAAATGGTGATAATGCAAAGAACAGTGGATATCGCTAAAATCAATGAACCAAAAATAACCAAACTTAGATCCAATAGCAACACCCACACCTACACAACTTCCCTGAGGTACCCAACCAAAGGGACCAAAAAAGTTTTATCTTATCTTAACAAAAAAATAAATAAACAAGGGCTTCAAAACACACATTATAAAATTTAAAAAACAAAACAAAACAAAACCCAAGACACAAGTAACTTCTAAGCTGAGTTGGACAGCTGATAACTGTAGCCACAGTCTTCACCAAGACACGAGTAGCTTCTACACAAAGTTAGCAGCTTCCAGCAGAAGCTATAGTTGAACACAGAAAACACTGAAACACAAAACAAGAGGCCCCAGGGCAAAGTGTTCACGTTCAATCCTTGCCGCCCCCAACTGAGAGTTTGTCTGAGGTTTTATAATCCAGGTGTGTTGCTGCAGGTTGACTGGCTGAGGGTAGAGGGAACTGGGTGGTGGTCCAATCAGGAGTGGCAGGCGGGGAGAACAAGGGCTGGAGTGCAGGTCTGGAGCTCCAGGCTAATCTGCTGCAATGGCAGGCAGTTGGGGCTGGAGTAGGCTTCCTCAATGCTTTGTCCCCAATGCTGCTGTTGTACTCCGGTTACCTCTAATCACAGTTCCTTTACAAAATGGTGATAATGTAGTTCACAATGGAGCTTAAAAAGTCATTGAAAAAAATGAACACGTGGCCTTAGTTTAATGTACAGTGACTATGTAATGACATAATGAGTATAATTAGACACAGGGGTGTAGTGGTGTAGTGGAGTGTGAAACACAATAACATTAATATGAGACAACTGATATGTGCAACGTGTTTCACAAGAGTACAGTCTTATTACTTAGATGCTTCCTGCTTCATCTTGCTTTGAAAAAGTTAGATTGAAAGGATGCCAACCCAAATCCATCGAAATGAAATTGAACAGTACTGACAGTTTTGTAGAGAGACACTCAGTGGAAATGAAGTCTGCGTGTCTTAAAATGTCGAATATTAGAGCTTGAAGTAACATTTATGATTCTTAATTTTAACACAAGAACCTGATTGTTTTTGGCTCTAAAACTTTTTTTATACTAAGGTTTCAAATACTGAAGCTATTGTCACCTCTTGCAACAAAAACAGCTGCAACCCGTTAGAATAACCATTTTTGTAACTGAAATATTTTAAAATGTTTTCCTTGCGAAGCCTTATTGCACACCAGAGATCTTGTCTATTGTAAAAAGAATAAAATCAAATTTAAAAAAAAAAAAAAAAAAGGGGGGGGGGGGGTTGGGGGGGTGATTGGACCTTTTGTCTTTTTGTCTAGTGGCTGAATGATTTTTCTTGAAATGGGAACAAAAAGAAAGGTGGTGTTGGTGTTCTAAGGGTTCAGAACAGGTATCGTATGGTCCATGGCAACAAAAGGTGGAACAGAAGTAGTTCTCTTGAGACATAAATGCTAACGTACTCAGTCCATCCTTTCTGTGTCAGCAGCTTGTTTTTTTTTTGTTGTCTGACTGTATAGCAAAGGCAGGGGGTCATTTAGAGAATTCCTTCACAATGCCGAGGTAAATAATATTGCATGGGAACAAGGCATTTCAAAAACGTGAGCCAGTGCCTCACATGTTGTTCCATCACAGTTTGTGCCAAGAAACGTGGCTTTGTACACAGAAAAGCCTTTTTAATTGCACCATCTATTAACTGAGCTTTTTTTTGTCTGTTTATTCCTAATTATTAAATTAAAAGGAGATAGAAATCAGATCTCACTGCAAGGCAGTCACCTACACTAGCAGTGTAATAGTGTGTCAGGGAGCAGACTAGAAGACGAAGCAGTGAGTAATGAGCAAAATGTGGAAATAGATTTGTTTTTGGTTTTACAAAGTAAGTTTTTCTCAAAGACATTACTCTATGAATAAAACTTACTAGCCCCCAGCATTTAGCAAAATAGAATGAAGATGCAGGACTTTTGTCAGTAAGATCTATTCTTTGTTTTATATTTTCTGTAGTGACTTGACATTTTGAAGCACGAATGCACCTACAGTCCATCACATGAACACAACTGGCATTAATGTGATGTTGTATCAACACGTGTCTGACAGGGGTTTATGTTGTTGTCATTTTGGCCTTTTTGAGTTGTTATTTTTTTGGACTTTTGGTCATTTCTGCGTTGTGTTTGTCCCTTGCATAGAGCAGCCTAAAATTCCATAACTGTATCAGATAGTCTCTGATCTCATAAGATCACCAATACAGACACATCACTGGTTAAAGAGGTTACGAAACATGCAAATTTTTCTTGCCTCTGCTTTGGATTCTTATTGGCTTTGGCACTCCATTGTCTGGTTTGTGTTAGAAGTTATGGGAGTGTCCTGTTTTCCTTTCATAACCAGAGCTGTAATAAATAGGTGTCTTGGACTCGACAACAAACATTCCATTTTTGAATCCAGAGAGCCTGACAGTGTGCCATGATGTAAGTACAGTTTTGTTTTTCAGATGGTCTTTGAAAAGAAAAAAATTCAGTTGAGATTTATTAACTGAACAAACAAGCTTGTTCGTTCATGCTTAGTGACAACACTCTGCACGTGTGTCTCAGGCTTCATCTTGCAGGTCTGGTCGGACTTCTGCTGGTTCTAACAGCTGAGGCCAAAGTTGGGTAAGAAACCTGAATTTAAACTCAACTTCTTTACTCAGTGCCTGGCACAGGTAGTTATATACCTTCCAATATCTGCATTAGGCTGTTTAAAAAATAATTTAAAAAATCCCCTCTCTCTCTCTCTCTCTCTCTCTAATTTCACAGAAACTCCTCTCTGTTAGAGATCTGTTCTGAGACTGAGCAGTGCCTGCTGTATGATCCAATTTGTAAGGACAACTACGAAGTGAGTGCATCTGAGCAAGAGAGAAACCTTTTCTACATTTCTTGTGCACAAACTTGAAAGAAGCCCACTCCAGCATGTTGGTTCATGTCTTTCAGGTGCGTCACTACGAGTCTGTGAAATGGGTTTCAACTACCGTAAAACACCGCTTCATGGATATGGCAATGGTGAAAGCATTCAGAAAACTGTTTAACTACATACAGGGTGAAAATGAAGCAGGTGCGTATGTGTGTGTATTTAAAAAAAAAAAAAAAAAAACGTAATAAACATATACATTGTAAGCATGAACAAACAGAAATTTTGAAAAACATGCTGCATATACAGCAGCTGCACATTATAAAAACAACTAAAGGTGCCAATAAAAATTGTTAACAGAAACTATTGGCACAACAGTTTGTGACTTCTTCCATTTGCAGAGTAAAACTTTTTAAAATCTGTTTCCCAACCTCTGTTCAACATGGGGTCTGGTTAGATTTAAAATGTGTTTTGATCCAAGATGACAATAACTGGATTTAGTTGTGATCAGAGAGCAAAGATAGTTTAGCAGAATTTTTAGGTAATAATGATTGTCATGCATTTCCTGTTTGTAACATTTCAATAAATAATATGTACTCTCTTAATGCTTGCTTTCAGGAATGAAAATTGAAATGACTACTCCTGTTCTTGTGAAAATTCCTGACAAGAAGATATTCTTTGAAGAGACTGACTACACAATGAGTTTTCTGCTGCCAGCCGAGCATCAGATGAATCCTCCCAGTCCCACTGATGAAAACGTAAGTTTTTCTAACACAAAAATGTCAGGAAAAACAAAAAAACACATTTAATTTACACCTTCAGTTTGGTCATAATTGCTATAAACTTGTTTGACTTTATTCTTAGCAGTCTACCTAAAGCTCTGATTGATGATGAGACTTTGCTTTAATGCAGGTGTACATCCACGATACCCCAGATATGAAAGTGTACGTGTTGAGCTACGGTGGCTGGATGATGAGCTGGATTGACCAAATGAAGGCAAAGAAACTGGGTGAAATGCTTGACTCAAATAAAGCGAAATACAAAAAAGGATTCCATTATGGTGTTGGGTATAACAGGTAAGCTAATTCCCATTAATTAAAGAAAATTTCAAATGAAAGCTCCTGAAAAAAAAAAGAAGCCCAAATATAATGATTTTTTTCCCCCTGTGTGTGTGTGTGTGTGTGTGTGAATGTCTCTTGCAGTCCAATGAAGCTGCTCAACAGGCACAACGAGGTGTGGATGGTTGTGGAGGATGAGCATGTGTGCTAACTGGAAAAATCTCCTTCCTCTGTGCAACGATGGCGTACTGCAGGCGGTGCATATGGAGACGTTTTGCAGCTGAGCATTGCTTCTAGTCATGTGCCATATAAATAACCTGTCGGTGAGAGCACAGATCAAAAAATGTGTAAAAGTTAAATAAACTGCTACTTGTGATAATGGTTTTGTATTAGCCTGTACCTTTCTTTGATATTCAATAAAGTTTCCACTTTGCAGTCATTCTCTTGGTTGTTTAGAATCAATCAACCTTCATGGGTCTATTCTAAAGCAGGTGGTTTATCAACCCAGGACAAACCAATGGCAGACCAAGTTAGCACAGTTTTATTCAATGCCACCAGATGGCGCTGCAAAGTTCAACAAGACCATTGCTCCCTGGATAACACACATAGAGTCATATAATGAATACTTTGCATTTCATAAGGATCTAACCTCTGCATAAAAGGAACATTGTTAAGTGTGTGAAGCTATACATGCTGGTTAGGACAGCAAAAAGACCTTTTTATTTCTGAATGTCATAATCCATTTACAAGCTAATGTCATTGTGTCATAACCGTACACCCTTGAACTGCCCTGCGGCGTTGACGTAACTGTGCGCTTCACCAAAGCAGCCTGTGTCATTTCAGGTGTTCAGCGGCATCTTATCACCACAAGCACTGGCTGCAAATGTGTTGTAATATAATCACAGTCTGTGGGTTCCTTGATGGGCTAATCTTGTGTTATACTGAATATTTCCGTTTGTCCTTTTCTGGAATGCATTACTGAGGTGGATCTTTGTTTATTTGACTTTTTAACATTTTATTCTTTGGCTTCAGAACGACCAATTGGAGTTGACTTTTTTGATAAACTCAGTGGTAGAAGTTACGTACATTGCTTTTGACTTTTACTTCACTACATTGCAAAAACAGCAGTGTACTATTACATGACAGTTTTGCAACATTTTACATTTAAAAACAGTCATCAGTTTAAAAAAATATCAAACATTGCTACAGAACAAATCAGTACCTCCCAAACCTTTCGGCCTGCGACCTCACTAAAAATAAGAGTTTAACTGAGGGCCTGTGTCACCTGTTTTAAATATATGAACAGCTTTAAAATGAAGACTGATTAAATGGTTATATGGTTTCATGAAAATAACTGCCAAAGGTATAGAGAAGCAACATTATCTGATATCTCATTTAAAAGAAGAGATTAGAAAGTTGATTGCATGCATTCATGTAGGTAAACCTTTTTCTTATTTCCTTGACAACCAATGCACTAAACTATCAAAATATAAGTAAAGGGATTACAACAAGCTCCACCTCAGTCAGCAACAGGAAAATTCCACATGCACATTGCTCCTCTGGCATGGACAATCTCTTATAATTATAAATCACACACAGAGGCCAATTTGAGTTCTTCAAAGTACTGCATTTAACACTGTGAGTACATTTTGCTGCTAATTTTATTAAATTTGTATTTTCAATCAAGGTGAAGATTTGTCTTTAAAAGTATTTTTGCACTGTTTCATAAAAAAATAAAAACTTCGGTAAAGAATTTTCCCACCGTTCCATAAAAGACTTAAAAACACAATAATTAGAATTAACACAAAATCTGACTGTGTGTAGTTTTAACAGTGACTAACTCTTCAGTTGACTCTTATCTTATCAGCTGGGCTTCAAGGAGGGCTCAGTGATACTGACGTGACTTCACTACAGTAAGATTCCAGCAGGTGGCTATCTGACTGTCTCCCATGGAGGGGCTGGTTGGTTCGCTGGCTTCCCTGCTGACAGACTGACTGGGTAGGAGTGCCAGTCAGGAGAGGTTTTATGACACTCACTGCAGATCAAAGTCCACTTGTGGGCCTCAGACAACCATCAGTGCACTGTTTTGCCTGCCTGCCCGTCAGCCTTTCTCTGGCTCTCATGCGCTGTCTGTCTGGTCTCCTGATCTCTGCGACAATGAAGATCAGGCTGGAATGACTGTGGAGCCCATACCACACCAACCAAAATGGACCTACCTGGTTATCACCCACAGCAGTCCCAGCCGCTTGTCCACCAACCTGTTAACTATCCGGAGGATCTGTTAACTATGGAGGGATCATCAACATGTGAGTACTACATAGAAGTGCACCATGCTAGATTAAGCCCTTTAGGTAAGTATCAGAAGATACTCATACTGAATGATACAGTCTCATAATGGCATTTGTGATTTAATGGTTGCATTTTGAAATTTGGACTTGGCTGTATACAAATATATATTATGTAGTGGTGCAATAAGCAGACAATCAGACAATAATCACCTCCATTTGAAAATATTTACAATAATAAAAGTTGTAAAGTGGGTCTCCATTGTGCCACAGTTTTTCATTCGGGAGACTGGTTCTGGAAATTACATAAGGGTCATACCTGTGATCATAGTCAAGCAAATCAAGCTCAGTGATAAGGTGCCTGCTGCAACAGAGGGATGGCCCTGCTTGCTGCTTTCTCAACAGCTGAGCAATAAACCTCATTGGATGGCACATTTACATGTCGGCAATACAGCACTCGAGTCTCTCCAACCACCCAGGCTTTTACATGATTTCAGCTCCACTCTGACTGTGGGTTATCATTTGTCTTTGTGGCCGACTTGAAATAGTTCTTACTGTTACAAACCTACTGTTGCCTCGCAGCAAGGAGGTTGCTGTTCACGTCGCGGTGGAGTTTGCATGTTCTCCCCCTGCAGCGTGGGTTCTCTCCGGGTTCTCCGGCTTCCTCCCACACAGTCCAAAAACATGTTGAGGTTAATTGGTGATTCTAAATTGTCCCCAGGTGTGAATGTGAGTGTGCTTGGTTGTCTGTCTCTAAGTGTGGCCCTGCGATAGACTGATGACCTATCCACGGTGTCCCCTGCCTTCGCCCTAAGTCAGCTGGGATAGGCTCCAGCCCCCCCGCAACCCTAGTGAGGATTAAGCGGTGTATAGATAATGGATGGATGGATGGTACAAACCTGGAATGTGGTGTGTACCATTGTTTGCAACGCTGCCAAATGCGCTTATCCATCCCAACACAAAAGTGCACAGTATTTGAAACCAAAAGTCCACTCGCTTTCACATGTATGTTGGCACATCAGCATAGAAATCTCTGTTGAACATGCAGCATGTCTTATCTCTACTTGTTGGGCACCTTCAGGAGCTGATGTTTGTGTCATGATGTAAATGTGACATTCGATGTTTCTTTAATGTCACTGGTGTCATTCTCCAGCTCAGGACCAAAACACAGAGGCGGACAGTAGACCAGAGTCAGATGAGAGCTGCCCTGTCTGTGGAGACAAAGTGTCAGGATACCACTATGGACTGCTCACCTGTGAGAGCTGCAAGGTGAGCAATGAGGCTGGGACAGTTCATGCAGAAGAAGGATTCTATAACGGCACCACAAGTCACTTTCTCTTTGCAGTATGAACCAAAGAGCCACCGTTTGTTACTGTAATGTCACTGTATGTATGTTATGTCACTGTAATGATGTATTTTACATTGTCGGCTATTATAATGCTTGTTGTTCTGCAATGAATGAACAAGCAGGCTTACAATCTCTCTCTTTCTCTTTGCAGGGCTTCTTTAAACGCTCAGTGCAGAATAACAAGCATTACACCTGTTCAGAACAACAAAGCTGCCCCATGAACCTTTCCCAGAGGAAGCGTTGCCCATCGTGTCGCTTCCAGAAATGCTTGGCGGTAGGCATGAAAAGAGAAGGTACAAAGATTGCGGTCACATCCTCCACTGAAACATACACCCATATGTTTCTATCTTTGTTCTTCTATTCTGCTCCATTGCACCATGCTTTGTGTCCCATTGACATGCATGTTCTTTTCTCTCGTATGACTTATCTAAGAAGTCATAAACCAGCGCTGTAATAACCCAGATTGCTTATGAGAATTATGATGTGGATCTAACGTGAGCCCTCAAAATGTATGGGGGAATGTTATCGCTTTTATAGAACAAATTACCCTGGCAATGTTTGAAATCTTGTTGTAAAATCTTTTAAAAAATTGTTTTATGTTCTGTTATCAGCTGTAAGAGCAGATCGCATGAGAGGTGGCAGGAATAAATTTGGCCCTCTGTACCGGCGGGACAGGCAGATGAAACAGCAAAAGGTTTATCACCAGCCAAATACTGCTCCCTACAGGATTAAGATGGAAACTACACAAACACATTGCCCCCAAGCACCAAATGACCCTCACCTACTAAGCAGTCACACAAGTGATCCATCGTCTTCTGATGCTTTTCATCAATCCCACATATGCCCCTCAGGCATGGGGCAGTCAGGTGAACTCCTGCCTCTGGATTGCACCATGAACACGGACAGAGTGCTCACTCCTTCATCCTTGCCTTACCCTGGACTGTACCACTGCACGTTCCCCGGATACCCCCAAGATAAAGGAGAAATGCCTTTCAGCTGCAGCCCATCTCCCACAAACCATCCAGTGCATTCAATCCTAAATAGTTCATTCACACCGAGAAGCGCGTCAGCATCGTCCCACTGCTCAACATCAAGCTCAACCACCCTGTTCTCCCAGGCCCTTACCCCGACCCAAACCATCCCTCCTTCGGCTTCTCATACACTCGACTTCCTAAGCCAGCTCCTGGAGGGAGAGCCGGACGAGGCCCAGCTGTGTGCCAAAGTCTTGGCCATTCTGCAGAAAGAACAGGCCAGTCGAGGAAAACACGATCGTCTAAATACATTCACTATCATGTGCAAAATGGCAGACCAGACTCTGTTTGGGCTTGTGGAGTGGGCCAGGAATAGTGCACTCTTTAAGGAGCTCAAGGTGATGAATCATGAAATGATGGGACAAAGTGTAATATATAACATTTTGCAGCACTAGAAATTACTCTTTGCAATGTATTGGTGCTTACTGGAGGTGAATGGTCGTAACCCCTAATTTGTAACTACATCAGGTCAACTGTTTACACTTCCAACAGGTGGAGGACCAGATGGTGCTGCTGCAGAGCTGTTGGAGTGAGCTGTTGGTCTTGGATCACCTCTGTAGACAAGTGGCCTTCGGCAAAGAGGGCTGCATATATCTGGTCACAGGACAGCAGGTAGAGTATAACACTGCAAAATACTGCATTCTGAAGCTCACAAGATTGCAAATGTCTTTGGATTGCAGCCACACATATAAAGTTAATTATGATCACCAACCTTGTCTCATTCTGATGCAGATTGAGGTGTCAACCATTAGCTCCCAGGCAGGAGTGACTCTAAGTAGCCTGGTATCAAGGACCCAGGACCTAGTGTCCAAACTTAAGGCACTCCAGTTTGACAGACATGAGTTTGTCTGTCTCAAATACCTGGTGCTATTCAACCCTGGTGAATATTTTTTTTAACTATTTTTTTAAAGAGTTATAGTGAGAAGACTCTTTATGGAAGCCTTTTCATCACCATTTTTCTCTTCATACTAATGTCACACATACAGCTTATGTTAGCATTGAATGTCTATGCATTTGTTGTGTTTTCTTTTGTTTCTTTTACTGCTCTAGATGTGAAGTCCGTGCAGGGCCGCAGGCAGGTGGAGCAGACACAAGAGAGGGTCAACAGGGCCCTGATGGAGCACACCCAGCGAAGTCATCCTGGACACTCAGACAAGTTTGGCCAGCTACTTCTCCGGCTGCCTGAAGTACGCAGTATTAGTCTGCAGGTTGAGGACTATTTGTACCAGCGGCATCTTCTTGGAGACTTGCCCTGCAACTCTCTACTTACGGAGATGCTGCACACCAAACACAACTAAGGAAATGTTGCCATACCTTTAAGCATCAGTGATACTAGCAGCCTGAATGTGCACCTTCTCTGCTGCCTTTTAGATCCAACTCTCCCATTCACTTTTGATGATTGTTGCAAATAACAGTTCTTACAGCTGCAGAAGTGAAGGGGAAGATATGTGATCCAGGATCATCACCAAAGGGAAATATTTGCGTTCCTTGTGCCATGCTTTGGCCAAGTTTCCATCATCAACAGTATTAAGCCAAACATCCCAGTAATTTTTCTGTCAGTATTGTTGTGAGAATTTAGATCCAAGCACTACCGTGATGTTTTTAGTAATCAGGAAGAGCTTCACTGTTTCAAGACAAAGGAAAATGCATTGAATTGAATAAAGGAATTTGTTTTTGCATATGTC